GATTTAAGCTGTCACACACTGCTTGGCTAAAAGGCGAATAAAAGATTCATAGCAACTTAAAGGTATTCAATAAGATGACATTAAATTCAATGAGAAAACTACCGAAAGTCCTGATTCCAGAGGAAATTTCGAATGTATGTGCTCACGTGTCCAGATTGAGGTAGAAAACGGATATCAGATTCCGGGAAGACAACATCGAGGGGAACCACTCCATCACGTGGAACGTATGCGTCTTTTCCAGCTGTTACGGAAAAAATAAGCCGGGGATCCACAACTGGTGGGAAGTTTCCCAAGTGCGTGAAAAAATCCAGCAGTTCTCTGAGAAATTCACGTACCTCCGGATCCACCTACAATTAAACGTAGCACATAGAAAATAACCTCTAATAGTATATCTACTTATAAGAAACAAGTAACACTAACTTTCACATTTTCAGGAAAGACTGAAGGAATAGGTACACCTCGAACAGCAGGGACAGCACCGTCCCAAATGTGGTTATCTACATACAGATGAAGGCGATTATGCGACTTAAGGAAGTCCATCAGCTTAGCTGCGTCCGACAGTGGTCTTCTATCAAGGCAAAACCGAAATTATTATGTTGGAGAAAAAATAAATAAAGTTAAAAATTCAAAAAAAATATTAATGACTTAATACAATTATTAAAACAACAATACATTAAGTGTAATTAATTATAAAAAACTCGTTAAATATTAAATAAAATTAGTAGACGAATATATATGTACAAATCGCAAAAAAAGGAAAGGAGACCACGAGAGATAAAAACACAAAGAACTCAATCGAATCAAATACAACGCTCTTTTCTAATAATACCTCAAAACCCAATAATATGATTCTGAAGTTCGATAAAAGATGGCTGATTTGCTTTTAACAACTGTATAAGATTAGATGTGATATTTTGCTGAAACTTGTTGAGTTAAATTCCCATTTAGTGAGAGGGGAGGACTGCTCAAACTGTCGACCCTCCAACTTCAGCGAAGAAACTACGAAACTTACCTCCAGCAAGAACAAGGAAAACGCTTGTGGGGACAGAATGCGAGTAGGCAAAGGTATGAAGGAATGAAGATTAAGTGGCGGGTTGCAGATAACTAAGAGAAGTCGGTGAATGACTAGCTCATATCATAGGGCTATTGCAGAAGTACATAGAAGAAAAAATAAAGTTTAGTCGTGCATAACCTAGAACTTAGGAAGGGGCTTAAATGCATCTCGATTATACAAAATAGAGGCTGTAAATTAAATGAAATACAAACGAGGTGTTAAGTGTATACCTTCTTCAAATGATGCTGTATAATGTCTCTGGAGAATAAAGCCTATGCCCGTTGATAGACTTTGCCAATTAAATTATGAATAAACCTAATAACGCAAAAAAACAAGGATAGCATAACAATTTCGGACGTCCTGGTTGTATTCCAATGGACATGATAATTTCCATATTGATAAAAACCTGCGTTGCAGTGACCATTTAGCTTGTCCACTTGCTTCTTTTTCGTTTCGAAATAATGGCAAAGCGTTGAATTTCCCCTACTTTCAACGAAACTGCGTAATAGAGATTGAGTTAATCTACCATCAAACAGACTTCGGATAAATTTGCTGAGTTAATATTCGATGATAAACAAGAGACGCTCATGTTGTATAAATGAACAGCAAAATAAGTTGCTATATTTTCCTATATCACAATAGATTTGTAATGGATTACACCATCAAGAAAATTAATTAGTTACATATAATTAGAAGCATACCAAGGGAATAAAGCCAACAGATAAGTATTCCAACAATTCTTTGAGGATAAGGAAAGTTCATTCCACATTTCACCAAGATCAAGGGAAAGAATAGCAAGCTTTTCTATACGCTGCATTAGCCTTAATGTAGTTGCGGTTAAGACTGCCTAATTTGGATATTTACAGCCTTAAGAAGCCAACCTTATAGCTTGGAACGGCTAAATCCCTATTCCAGATGCCAACTCGCCAGTTCCATTGAAGCCGAAGCTATAGTACCGATAAGTGAATACGTCTATTCAAGTTACAGATAAGACTGTGTTCTGTTTCACATAGTTTGAAGATGCAGCTTATAAACAAAGGAGGATGCCCAAAGACAATGAGCCTAAATTTCAAAAGAGGGTATGCCAATCTTATCAATTCAGGACACCACCATGAATATAATGAAAGGTACTTCAAAGGCAACCATCCAGTTTGAGAAAATTCAAAACAGAGGGGGGCAGTATAGTGGACTTGAAGAACTCCACTTCGATTTTAGTTCATCATATATTTGGTATGTGAGCTGTCTACAGTTAGCTACAAACTCTTAGTCTAAACGCTGATTTGGTGACATCGCCCTCATTACACCAAAATAAGGAATTCATCCCATTCTCGTTATTTTCCTAACGTACTATATAAGTTCAAAATGCGTTGGAATAAGAACTTTCCACAACAACTTAGACGAAACTCCCACAACGCTTTCAGTTTTAAATGACCTAATAACGATAAATATGCAAGTTGATGTCAATCACAACAGTGTACACACTCTTCCATAAAATTTTTAATAATTCTAACTTATTAAAGATGAGATGAAAGAGACTATTAAAGCTCAAACAAAAAATCACAGAGTTAGGAAAGAAATTCGTCATTTAAAGAGATAGATTAATTAGTAAAAGCAAAAAAATCAAATACCGGTAAAAGGTGAGGAAATTGAGGATATAATCCGGAGTAATTGAATCTTTGGGGGGCTGGGGAGCAAGAAGATTAGTAGCAGGTTTCAAAGTATCCTTTGATTTAGTAAGGTCAGTAGTCAAACAGTTAAGACCAGTTTGGCATTGGGCTGAAGCAGGGAAAATGATATTAATACTCGCGAGGAAGATACGTGGAAAGCGATTAGCCAAGCGAATACCTTTTAGGACAAAAGCTGGCCGAATTGAGGGTTGAATCTTGGGACGAATGATTTTTGAGTAGACAGAATCCTGAGTATATTGCTTTGTCAGAGTTCGCCAGTCCACCGAACGACTGAGGACTCCCTAAAATTTGAGTTAGCTATATGACAGAACAGATTCATATCAAAAATTTTTAGCCATACGAGCATTGTCCTATAAAAGGTTTTAGTCAAGGAATGAAAGAATACCAGTGATTTTTTTGTTGAATTAAGCTATCCGACGACACTCAACTGCATCACCCCAGCAGTTGATAAGAAGTACGAACAATTGTGTGATATGGAAGAACATAATGAAATCTATTGGGAAATGCCTGATAAAAGTATAATAAGGGAAACACTATATTTCAATCTACAGTTCGAAAATCCCTCTTGGAAAGGCAGGTGCTTGAGTAAGGGAAAATGAGATGTTATCCAGAAGGGCCCTTACGACACAAATATTATGGCGTGACATAGAATTGGCAAGCATTGAAAGACATTATTGAAGAACACATTGGTTAGGGGAAGGACACTTAAAAGGCTTAAGAAAAAAGCTAGACAAGAGCACAAGAATTTTACCCGGAAAGTGGCATTTGAGAACACAGTGCCCTAAAAAATTTTCGAGCAAAAAACATATCTAAGAACACGGCTACAACAAGAAATAGGAAATATTCGGTTTTCCGCAACGTAGATTTCAAATTGATCTCCTTTTTGCCTATTAAATTTGGTATTGAAAGTCATTTCTCGCCGGTTATTTCGAAAGAGACAGCAAATATGGTAAGGGGGGTGTTACAAAAATGCAGATACCACCATGCAGTAAAAAGATGATACATCCATAGATGACTAATTCATAGGGCTTTAAGTGCGTTAGTATCATATGCAGACGGTTCGAGTGACTAACTTCATGATTAGCATGATCTTAATTTTAGATGACGGCTAAGAGTTAATTACGAACACTATTGCAGCAGGATAAGCACTCACTTCCAGAAATACAACGGAGGCAGAAGTCCAAGACAGACATGGAACCAGGGAGATGTGAAATGGAACGGTTGTTGCACATATAGTTGCCATCTGAAAACAAAGGGAGAATTCAAATTCAGGGTAGAAAACCTACGTAACCACCCATCGAAACACCATGGAGGATATATGGACCATATCCTTGCTTTTGACACCATCGGAGAAGAGTATGAGATTCAAGAATGAGTGCTCCTCCCATAACGAAAAGATCCGAAAGATAATTTAAACTGGAGCCTCTAGAAAACATATGTGCATCAGATAATCAAATTCTACCTACTTTTGATCAACTGGTAGGCGAGTACCATAATAGGGATTCATAATTATGATTGATGCAACGCCATCTTCAATTAATTGATTCGCTAAAAATACGCGACGACGATAATAACTCTAGATTCCGCGAAAATCAAGGAAATCATTTGAACCTACATGATCACCAGTCCCTGAATAGTGGAAGCAAACGGGTCTATGTTCTGATTTCCACTTCTTAGGAATAATCATCTGAAACCTTTAAAACAATAAAAGCGGAAAACTTCACGTACCTAGCAATTCTATTCTTTGAACACATTGCAGTTGGAATAAGGTCTTCCATTGGAGAAACAAACGAACCCTCGATTTCAATCAGTTTCTTATATTCGTTTTTCTGCGTTGTTAAACGAGCTGAATAAAAGCGCAAACCTTTTCAATCATAATTGGATGATATGTCAGTGTATTTCGAACATAGTCAGGATCTTCTCTTACACGAATCATGTTGTCAATTAGTCTATGATATGACTGGAATATACAGAATATTACTGAATAAGTAAATCCGGACGGCCCCATCCTTTGGTAAAGAAATCGAATGCCACTGTTTTACGGAAAATTTTATCAAATACATTCATTTGTAACCCTTTTGGATCACAAAATTACTACGAAAAGAGCGAGTTGCTGAAGTAGGTTCTAATTGGTAGGTTCATAATGCCGGTCTTTTTATAAAAGCATTACTTTGGAAAATTTTTCAAAATAAATATTTTATTATATACATAATTTTAGAAGATTTCTCTTTTTTGAACGATATTTAATTGCTTGCTGTTGCATTCGTGTTCAGCCTTATTTTTGTTAAAGACAACCAAAGGTTGTATATTAGCGTCGGTACCTAATCAAATAGTTATTTATATCTATATAGATGTCACTTAAAAACCACATTTAATTTTTAATGAAATATTCGATCAAAATTTTTAATAATACTCATTTAAAGTTGAATGACTTTTAAACATATTTTAAAATTCGAGATATGGAGTCCAAAGCCTCTTCGATTAAAAATACTTTAAGTAGCTGTTCAAAGAATACTGTACAACGATCACGTTTATTTAAAAAACACAGATGTATGTATATTGTAGTATGATTAATCGAAATTAAGTGAGAGCTGGTCGTTCCACAGTTCAATTGCGAACTAATTCAACTGTTACAGACAACAAAAAGCTGGCAAATAAGAAAATGAGTACTCAGACCCTTCCATTATTATCTGGCAACAAAGATGGTAAATCATTTTTATGTCAAAATTTCCATATAGATAAATTTGAAGTTTACCGCTGGTTCCGATTGAACAGTCCTTCAGCTTCACCTGTTCCTGAAGCTAGGTGCGTCAAAAAATTGCCCTATCTACTGAATTGCACTAACGCACAACAGAAAGACACATTTAAATTAAGTAAGGTTGCGTGCGAAAAGAGTGACTGTCCATCCCTTGAAAAATTTGGAATACCCATTTTACTTCAGTCGGAATTACGTAAGCCGATGAATAAATACTTAGTTCACTACAAGGCTATTGTCACCGTAGCAGTGCAGAATTGAAACGCTCACAACTGCAGAAGAAATGGTTTAACAAACACCCGTGGCACGTAATTAAACCAGATAATGACCTAAAGATAAAAGCTCCGTTCAGGACTTGGAGAACCAATACCTTTAAAAATCCCACATCAAGAATCCATTCCTATGTGAACGATTCCAGTGAACTTTCGATGATTGGAAATTTAAAGTAATCTATTAATTTTTATTATCTTTCATGAAATTATATATATATATATATATATATTGCAGGTAACACCGTTCTTTGAATGTTTCCAATTAAAAAATCATCTCACATTATATGAGGAATATGATTATCATATTCTAATGATAAAAATTAGAATGAACTTAATATGGTTTCTTTTTATATATCTTATGTCTATGTGTATGCTTTATTTACCAATTAACAAAGGGTAAAACACGAACAAACGTCTTCATATGCATCCAATTCGGGGATTGTGGAAGTGAATGAGTTGGAGACTTTTGTCAGTGATACTTTATGCGAAAGTAGTATTACTTTACATGATTCATTCGATCTTCCTGTTGGTGAGGAATATGGGGGACCTTCTCTGCTTATCAATGACATTATAATTCCAAGTTTAGTCAAAAACAGCAATTCAAGACTTGAAATTGACTTTAATCCAAAGTTGGAAATTTGTTTCAAGGTAAATCGATGAGAATGTTTCAATCTAAATTGTTTTGTAGTCAAAATAAAATTTTTCAGAAAATTTCCAAAATTAAAATAATTAACTATTTAAGGCCATCTAATCAATTATTTCCTTGATTGCATATTGAAGTTCAAATCAATGCCACCCAACCGTTACTAATTGGCTATTTTCTAGGTATTTATTGCTTTACTTTCAGTTACTTTATTAATTATTTGCATACCTTAAGAGCTCAGATGCAAATCCACGCCATCAAAGAATCATATTAAAAAACAACGGGACAGAGGACCTGGCTTATCAGTGGAAGGTTTTTCTCCAATTGCGCCTTCTTTATGTTTAATTATTAGATGCTTAAAAGTTCTCCATTTGGAAGCATTTTGCCACCAAGGAAATCAAACTTCTATTTCTTCACCAATCAAGGTATGCAGCTGCCTTTCTTCAGATATATTGGTTTTATTTCCCTAAGCATGTCATTAAAATTTTTAAATTTAATATTGACGTTCTTATTGATTCATATGATAAACTGAGAGCTCTATTGTATTGATATTTCAATCCAATTCCGAAATCAAATCGTTAACTTCACTACTTTGATCTCAAATGCAAATCTTTCTTCACCTGTCATTAAATGATTTACGTTACCTGCTCTATTTTTCCTCGGGTTGTCGCTTTCACATTTTACTAAATTGGCAATTGACCAATCTCGTCTATTTGACCTTTTCAAAGGTGTTGTGGAAAGGAGAAAAGAATGAAAAGATGCTTGATTGAAGGTCACCTGTGCCTAAACATATCGATAAGATCTTTCAACTGCTTGAAGCATACCCAAGTTTTCAGCCATTAACCATGAAACCTGAGATGTCTTATATCATCACCACAGGCCATTAAATTATTAACTCATTTTAGATCAGGGTCAAATGTCTGTAATGGGCTTGAATACATCCATGCAATGAAGGAACGAAAAGAGCTGTGTTTGGAGTCTTCCAAAATTGTCACAGACACATCTAAAGTGGATCTCTGTGTCTAAAAGTTTATCGTCTTATAAATTCTAATTACAATCTCAAAATGGATGGATGCGACATAACTTAGGTGCATTTGAGGAAAATAGTAGCTCCATTGACTATATTGTGTGGAAGGGGTGCGCAATAGACTTACCTCCACGTGGTGCATCCTGGACAACGTATATTCATGCAGTAAAAAAGTCTATAACTCGGCATTGGGGCTTATGATAAAAATCATCAGTATTATTTCAAATGGCAGGCTTTATGATATTTTATTGGCNGACCAGTGAGCACATTTGCTCTGGAGAAGTGTTTGATTTCCTGAAGAAGTCAAATATTGGGTGCAACACATTACATCAGTGTCTGATAATGGGTTCATGGGAATAGAGAGACATTTTGGTTTGCCATCGATTTATAATTCTTTTTCTCAATTCTATGGCTTTCTGTATTAGACCAGATTGCGTTTTGGATGTCTTGGTCTAGTCCCATAGGTGCTGGAGAACTTATCCATGGGAATGGCCAGTAGCTTCTCATAAAGAATCATGGCCCTTTCTTTGATAATGGAACATATTGCGGTGCTTCCTGTAACTAGNTATTTCAATCCAATTCCGAAATCAAATCGTTAACTTCACTACTTTGATCTCAAATGCAAATCTTTCTTCACCTGTCATTAAATGATTTACGTTACCTGCTCTATTTTTCCTCGGGTTGTCGCTTTCACATTTTACTAAATTGGCAATTGACCAATCTCGTCTATTTGACCTTTTCAAAGGTGTTGTGGAAAGGAGAAAAGAATGAAAAGATGCTTGATTGAAGGTCACCTGTGCCTAAACATATCGATAAGATCTTTCAACTGCTTGAAGCATACCCAAGTTTTCAGCCATTAACCATGAAACCTGAGATGTCTTATATCATCACCACAGGCCATTAAATTATTAACTCATTTTAGATCAGGGTCAAATGTCTGTAATGGGCTTGAATACATCCATGCAATGAAGGAACGAAAAGAGCTGTGTTTGGAGTCTTCCAAAATTGTCACAGACACATCTAAAGTGGATCTCTGTGTCTAAAAGTTTATCGTCTTATAAATTCTAATTACAATCTCAAAATGGATGGATGCGACATAACTTAGGTGCATTTGAGGAAAATAGTAGCTCCATTGACTATATTGTGTGGAAGGGGTGCGCAATAGACTTACCTCCACGTGGTGCATCCTGGACAACGTATATTCATGCAGTAAAAAAGTCTATAACTCGGCATTGGGGCTTATGATAAAAATCATCAGTATTATTTCAAATGGCAGGCTTTATGATATTTTATTGGCTGAATAAACATCTTATAAGTGTTGTTGAGAGTTGAGCGTGCACAGCCCATACGCTACCAGCAAGACGCTTCAGTGCATTCAGTCTATTAGAGACTCGTTCTGCTATTTTAGCTATGTGACTTTTCCACGTTAGCTTTGTGTCAAAAGTCATTCCGAGATATGTGAACTCATTGGTTTTTTCTAGGGTAGTATCCTTGTACTTTAGAAGCGGGTTTATGCTGTGACGGGCCAAAGAAAATGTTTGGAATGCAGTTTTCGCGGTGTTGATAACTATTCCATTGTTGCCGTACCAGTTTGCTAGTAGTTTAAGTGCACAATTTAGGGCACTCTCCGTCCTCTTCTGAGCGTTTTTCTTAGGGGCGAATACCATGAAACAAGACCATCTGCATAAAGTAAGCACTTGATGCCCGTGACTGTCTGTACCAGTTCAGCTATGTCATTGATGAAGACATTGAAAAGAGTGCAGCTTGTGACAGCTCCCTGTGGAAGGCCTGTTTGTAAAAGATTGGATTTTGATAGAGTATTTCCATACCTGACTGTACATGATCTTTGTCCAATGAATGCTTTTATCCAGTTTAGCATGTTATGTGATTTTGTGTCTTCCTTAGTTTCACCAAGCTGTCTTACTTGTATCTTTAAATCTCTTGAAG